CAGGTTTTATATGTGAGAAGGAGCAAACAAACAAAAAAAAAGTTCGATATTTGATTTCTCCGGCGAGTCATTTATTTGCAGAAAATTGAAATGAAATCAAAAGTCGCAAATACACGACTAAACACAATCTGAGTATAAAGGAAGAGAAGGACAAGAAATGGCGCGTGCTTTTCGACTGTTCATACATAATGCATCTAGAGGAAGGGACACTTTCTTCGGCAAACTTTTCCAAAAGCCACCCATCCTCCCAAGTTGAAATACAAATGACCGGATCCGGATTTAAATATGAGCTTCCTCCAACTTTAAACTGCAATCTTATGCGGACCAGAATCGATACGAAAACTGGCGTGTCTGCATGTGATATGTGTGCGCTCTCACTTCGAATCCCATTCGCGTTACGTAATTGAATCATACGTTACCGTTTATGCGCTTTAACGAATCCCTCCTAACAGTTTTCTCAGAAATAAAAAAAACAAAAACATTGAAAAATCGTTTTGCAAAGCCTACGCACTCGGATAGTCGCCTCGAATATATTTTAATATAACGGATCGCATTTTTTTAATCGGCCGTTTAGTGCCGATTTGTTTTACATAAACGTAGATTTAACGGCACCAATTAATGGAACGTTAATTACCGAAGTAAGTGTAAACACACTTATTTGTAACCAGCGGTTTATCTCTGCGTATTTTGATGCAAGATCAACTGCTATTAAGTTGTTCATCCATCAAACAGAAACAAGGTGTGTTAATAAACTGCAAACTGTTTCATCAACACATTTATTATTAAGATCGTTTCTGCGTAAAGTACAACACTATTTATGGATGAATAATTATGTTGGTGTATTGTAATTATTATGTGCATGCAAAAATTTAATTTTTAGAAAAGAGAAAATTATGTTGAAAAAAAACCTAGCATATATTATTGAAAATATTAATTTATTTCATTAGAAGTTCAAAATACACTGAAAACAGCGATTATGTACTTCACTCAATAGAATTAACTTCGTTTTTTGTATTAAATTAAGTAAATTAATAAAATTATTCGTACATGAAATATAAGAAATAATTAGTTTTCTTAAAATACAGTCATACATTAATTATGAATAAGAATATTTCTAAGTTAATAGACTGTAAACTATTTGATTAACACGTTGCTGCCTTGAAGTGAGCTGGAAATGCAATAATGAGTTTTCTTAATGTATTAAAATTAAATGTTTGTAAAAATTGAAATTTTGAAACCATACTACAGTGGAACCTCTCTTAACGAATATATTAACTGTATAATGAATCCGCACTAATCAGAGCGGTACTATGTGAAAAATTGCTGTTCAAATATAAAAAAATCATTTTTTAAATTTAAAAGCCGCGTTTATAATAATATACAATCGAATACAAAACATAAGCGGAAACATGAATTATGAATGAGAGCATTCCAATAATGATAGTATTGAATTATTTCGTAGACACACTTATAGACAGGCCTTGATATACTCTTCATCTTTTTAATGAAAGGATACGAAATCGTTTATGGGATTTTCCTCTCGTCCATTCAAGAATCCGTTTATTATTCCAATCAGGGTTTCGCATCAGTTTTCTGATACGCTCTTTGTTCTTAAAACGAAACGTACATCTCGCTTTATTTGGCTTTCCCGCAATTGGAAAATGATTCCTTTTTGGACATTGGCGAAACACGTGTACTTTAGGTACGTAATTGGAAATGCTCTGCTGCGAGGAAGAGCGCAACACAATAAAAATTACACAACGGCAATAAAAAAAAATTGTTTCTCGATGCAATCAGATTTATCTATTATAGGTTTATTTTTTTGGTAGATACACCTCACCTGTTCGTTGCAGCAACATCCTTTTTGATAGGTAATGGGTATAATCCAAATTGGTATCACTAATCAAGCACAGAAAACTGGAAAACGATCATCGCGTACGACCGAACGCAGTGCGCGGAAAAAGAGAGTGTTGTACCGTAGCGCTTCGTGCTTTCAAAGTCTGCACCTTGCTACTACTACTACAACAGGCAACGAACGGGAATTCATCTAGAATAATCTTCAGAACCCCGTGAATGTGAGTGCAAAGCCTTCCTTCCTTCCACGGACACACCAAATGCACCCGACTTTGGCCGAACCCACAGGATTCGGCTGCTCGGCCACACTTTTTACTCTCATGTCTCTTATATACTATGCAGACTATATATATCTACATGTATATAAAGATATAGATATACGTGTGCATTGTCCGTAATACCAACCCCGTGTTACATTGGAGTCAAGACTTGTGCGCAGAAGCACCCCCGACCTCCGGCCACTTGCCGCACATTATGTAATATCCGAAAAGCTGTACCAAAAAGAGTGTATCTACTTCGCACGTTCTCAATATTTGCACAATCCTCCAATCACTTATTTTACTACCTACATGTTACCTACACTATAATTATACAATTAAAAAAAACTAATCATTAAATCAAACCATTAAAACTAATCATTAGGATTAGTAACAATTAGAATTAGTATTCAATTTCATACATACATTTCATGAATAAATCAATGGAAGAATAAAAATTAAATAGGCAACCAATTATAAACTTCAAAAAATATTGGTTTAATGTGAAATAAAAATCTTTTCATGTATACAAACAATGAACTTTAATCAATTATATATTCTTCCTGTTGTCCGATGACTTTTTGACATCTTTCTGTCAACTTCATGAATCCGCGCTCATAGAACTTCTAGTCTTTATCAGTAAAAACAGAACTAACTGCGATTACAGGTCATCAGAATTAGTAATTTTTTACCATTTCAAAAGTTTTGCAAACTTCGAAATAAATGGTTATCCGATGGTGCTTCAAGGCTATATGGGGATGTTAGATCACTTTCCAATCAAGATTGGTTCCGGTCACGAGTTACCAAAGATTACTGAAGATTTGTATTGTTCTGATGGAACATGATGTGTCAATTTATTTTTCGTTGGAAACAATCAGTTGTTGACGTAAACATCTGGATTGAACATTGGGTGCAAAATATACTTATGATCGTTATCGATTGATGTTATATGTCAAAGTTTGAGATGGATATTGCAAATATTAAGTGAATCTTTATGAATTCATTCGAATATCGAGATTCTTTACATTTAAATTTGATTTTGTCATAAAAATCTTCAATGTCTCCAAAACGGATTTTTTTAAACAATTCTGATACATGAATTGTATTAAACTATCAACATTATACAATTAAATAAAAAAAGTAAAATATGTAAAAAATGTTCGGTTTTTCACTCCTCTAAACTAACAGCAGACAAAATTATGCGCTTCTACAGTTAAAAATGATATATTTCAAATGACAGAAGGAAAAATTCATAACATTGACTATCTATTTGTGAAAACCGAAGAAACTTTCTTGCCAAACCCAATAGTTTTTATATGAAGAATATTCTACATCTCAATCAATTTATTAATTAAATGTAATTAATTCTTTCGAAGAATGGAATAAATTGAGAATTTATTTTTTCCCTTTTAACAAATGATTTAATCATTAAATTAACAATTTGTCTTCCTATTATATTCACTTTCCTTTGATGTGGCTTTTACAGCATAGAGTGGCAAATAATTGATAAAATAAAAATCTCTCTTCTGCGAGCACGCAGTAACCTTGATGCTGAGTGACTAATCGTTGGAAAATAATTGTGACAGATTTATTTGGTAAACACATTTTCCGTCCAGCAAAATTAATATCAACGCGCTTGCGTAAATAACAAGAAAAAATATAATATATTGTGCTATATGACTTCGGACACGGCGAGACAAAAGATTTACATTAGAGCGGAGCGTTTTTCCAATTAGCATTCCACTTACCGCTGTCACCTCACCATAAACTCTTTGATTAATCGTTTTTGAAGAATAACACTTGCAGCAGCTGGACATTATTAAAAACCATTTTGTCGAGATTTACTTACAGAATTATTTGCAAAATACAACCAAATTTATGTAATATTTTTTAAATTTGTTTCAAATTATTATATAATATTCGAAGTTGATTTACCTATTTAAAAGAGATCCAAAAATACGTTTTAACATACTTTAAGGATTAAGGTTAACATGATTTCGGAGGTGTTCAATTTACGATCCAGTTGCAGTAATAAGCAGCAAAGTTGAATTATTTATGGGCATGCGACAGCTTAAACGTATGATCATTGCTTTGGGTTGAGCTGTAGCGCAATTTATTCATCCCTTGAACACGGTAGACCGACGACAAATGCGGTGCGCAATAAATTGGCCTTCGAGTTTGCACTTTGCTTTGGAAAAGGGAAGAAAAACAAGGACCTCGAATCCACATAGAATTTCAGATGCATCGGATTATTCGTACGCATTCTTCGCGCAGAGATTTATGTTTGGAAACGGGTTTAATTGGTGAAAGGAAATGCGAAATGCAATCATGTCGAAAATTCTGTTTTCTGATATGATTGAAAATCCCTCAATTTCGTGCATCGATTTTCAAGAAGGAAGCGAAGCGCACTGCGCCCTATGAATATATCTTATTTGCAAGCAATAACAACCGGGCAAAGAAAGCTCAGATTCTAGAGAAAAAATCTTGATCAATACTCATGCAAATAATAATGATGAACGTAGTTTGCGGCGGATGAAGCTGTGTGTTGCATTATCCTCTGCGAACCGGAAACCTTTTCAATTAGGTAGAGTATGTGCATGCGGAGAGGCTAAATTTAATAAAATCGAGTGGATTCGACGGGTAATGAACGCAGGCTCTTGTTTTAGTTTCGTTTTGAATATCGGAGCTACCGTGAATTATGCAAAAAAATTGAATTTATAAGCTTGTGCGAATGCAGTTTCATCAATTTGTACGGGTTCTCGCGAATAAAACCCCAATAATATTGTTCGATTTTGCATTTAATTTAATGAATTTACTATTAAATAATCGCGTTCAGCAGTTTGAAATATTGCAATATTTTATATATAGATTTAAAATAATGGTGTTTACCTTGCATGTATCCGTGGTCTGTAGGTGGAAGATGGGATCCGCACGGTGGAGCGCTGAACGCGCTGGATGGACACCCATGGCCTCGTCTCCCCAACGGTGACATTTGGCTGTGCGGCGGAAGATGATGGTGACCTAGAGGAACGCCGGATGAAGACGTTCCAGCCGGTGGCTGCATGTTGGAGAGCGCGTCCAAAGGGGTGTAGGATTTCGAAGGGGGTGTTTCAATGTTTGTCTGTAAGTGCAATGAAGACATGCAATTGAAAAATAATATACACTACGTTTGCATAAATCTTATCGATTGAAGTAAAGAAAATTTAATTTTCAGAAAATAATATTGTAGTGACGAAAGGTGGTAAAATTTAAAATATTGAATAATTATTAGAATATATTGTTACTTCCTATGAACTTAACTATTTTTACATACTTCTCATACTACTGTATTATGAAATTCAAGTTTTCGCGGGTTTCCTTGTTTGCTATTTAATTTTGATAGTTATTAAACTAATTTGCTATGTTTAGTGAAGTCAAAGTTTTGGTAATTCTCATCCTCCCTCTGTAAACTTGTGCTATGATTGTATACAATGTTTGAGAACTGTTTGAACCAGTGAATGCATGAATATTCATTCGCATTATGTGGTTGTAGCCTGAAGCGAGCAAAAATGAAGGGAAAGAAAGGTAATAATTACGTTTTCCTGGGTGGTCGTGCTACTGGAAGATTGCAGGATGGTCTCGGTTGCAACCGCAGTGGCGGCCGTCTGCGTGTGGCTCGTCGCTGAGATGCGGTACTGCATTCCGGCGATGCTGCAGTATCCCTCGTGATGGGTAGATCTGGTGGTGCTGTTCACGTAGACCCCGGTGATGGTCACGTCGGTGTCCTGGTTGAGAATGACGGAAACCTTCTTGTTCGGCGTTGCTCGAACCTCGATGATCTCCTCCTTCTTAACGTCGCTCTCGTACGTCGTCCTCTTTCTGGTGCGAACACCTTCGTCGCTGTTGTACTCCTCCGACGTCTCCGAATCAGTTTCAGAGTCGGAGTAACCGCCGAAACCGCGTTTCTCCACCGAATAACTCGCCGCAAGGATGGCCGACGCATTCAAACTGGCCATCCTCTTCCTCACAACCATATCCTTCAAGTCCATTATCAGCTCGGTGCGTTTACGCTTCTTCACTGGTTTCTTTTCCTCGCGTTTCACTTCCTCGATCTCATCCGCATCCTCATCCTTTTCTGCAAGCTCTTCCTTCTCCTTTTCTTTCTCTTTAGCCTTCTCCCTCGCTTTTTCTCTGTTTTTCTCCTTTTCTTTGTTCTTTTCTCTTTCTTTGATCCTTTCCTTCTCAGGTTCGTATTCTGCTTCGCTAAAATCCTCACTGGATGAGGTGGTGTCGTGCATGTCCCACATTTTACCGACCGCTCGTAAACCTGGAACGCATCGCAACGTCCTCGTTGAAGCTTCGTTTTCCGTTTTAATAAGAGGCGGAGATGGCGATGGGGAGCTTCGTTTTACAACAGTCTCCGGTTTTATGTCCATCTGATCCAAGAGATGCGAACGAGATTCGTTTTCGTACAAACAGTGCACCTTCGCTAAAGCGTTCAGTGAGGCCACTCTGTGCCGTTTCGGACCATTCCAAAAATTGTACAGCTTCATTTTGCGTTGTTCGTTGACTTTGCTTTTAGTATTGTATTTGGCTTTCGCCTTTTTCACTACCACCTGCGTTTTCTTTGGCTCTTCCTTGGGGGGTTGCTCCTCTTCAACGCTCGGTGACGATTCCTTCTCCTTCTTGATAGGCTTCACGATTTTTACAGGTTTCTTGAGTGGTTGCCGCTTCAAGATCTTGTGCTTGATTATGGTCTTTGGCTTCACGTTGCTGACAGCTCGAGTTTTCATCGGTTCCACTTTGCTTGGTCTCAGCTTCAGCCGCTTGCTCTCCTCAATTTTCTTGACTTTCTTCTCAGGTACAGCTTTCTTATCCTTGGACTTGACTGGTTTAACTTTTGTAACTTTCGGCGGCGGAACCTTCTTGACAACTCTTGTAGCCCTCTTGGTAACCGTAACCTTTGGAAGATCCTTCTTGACCACGAGCTTTTTCCGTGGTAGCACCTTCTTGACTACCTCCAATTTTCTGACAGGCAAGTTTCGTAACCTGGGTCTTCCTGGAGAAGCTTTTTTCTTTTTGGCATTGGCGGCCACTTTCTTGGTGGTCGGTGATTCTGATTTTGAAGATCCTGGCTTGGCTTTTATGACCGAGGAGATCGTTTCAGAAATCGAGGCCTCCATTTCCTTAGTAAGATTAATTTTTTTCTTCTTCACCGCTAATTGGGACGCTTTCATTTTCACACCTTTTACCGGCTTCTTTTCTGCCGTCTTCTGGGAGCGCATTTCTGCGGCCCCCTCAGCTTATTACTTCCGCACGTCCCTGCTTTGTATATATCTGGTGGTTGTTATTATTGTTGTTCTTCGTTCGGTGTTTATCTGGTTCTGCACATGGCGCACGTCCGGCTGATAAGCCCTAAATACACTTTTGCGTCCGAGCCAGTGACTTTCTGTTGCTTTATCCTCAACGTGCTCGGGACAGCCTATTGGAACCTGCGCCTTCAGGTTCGGTGCGAGAATCTAACCCCGTGCATCGATTTACCCCTCTATAATGCTAAGAACCCTCGGCTGCGACATCGCAAATTGATAGTCCAGTGGAGCGAATCGCTCTGTACCATTAATATATATAGACGATTTACTTAAGAACCACTACTACTACTATTACTAAACTTCACTCGAACGATGGAGCATCTCCGACGGAATGTCCAGCATATCTGGAAACCACCGAGAGCCCGCGACGGCCAGACGAAGACGACGGCTATTGTTTACCTTTCATCGCCGATGTCACGCAACGCAAGGCTCTCTCTGTTCGCTTATCCGAATTGTTTTTTTAGGCTAGGGCACTCGGGTGATTCCCACCGTTCGACCGTTTGGATCCCCGCTCGACAGTTCGGACGATCGCGAACCAATTCCGTACACTATCGACAATTAATTCGTCAAATTCCACACACACGACTTTACGCAAAAAAAAAAGAACTCCCCGCCCTAAATACGTACACTCTGACAGGCCACCATTTTACAGCTGTTGGTTGGTGTGTCGAACTCAAACACTGAAACATACACATCTCTCCTTCGGCACGTTCTACCATCTATTGCTAGCGCACGCACAACACTGCTCACCTCACCAGAAACATTACAATCATCTACAAGACATAGGCAACCAAACCTTCATTATTGCATCACAGTACACCTACATATTACATTATTTTCTGAATTATTCTTTTAAAATGTTTCCACAATGAAATATGACGTCAATATCTTGATTGTTATCAATTATAAGTAAATAAAAAATACGTATTATTTCAATTTTTAATTATTTTATTTCAAATTATCTTCAAGTAATCTTGTCTTCATTACTTAACATATATATAATTTTCAATAGATTAATTATTAATTCTTTCAAAATTGTCTTATATTTAATAAATCTTTTACTGAAATATATTTTTTTTTTAAATTATTCTACGTCCATGTCATAACTACTAGTCAACAAATGTAACGTTGATTTAAACTTATAACTAAAATTATAAGGTTTTTTAAAAATTGTCCTCTTAATTCAAATTAAGTAGATTTATTAATGACTCAATGATGATATAATTGTCATTATATTTCTACTTTACACTCAATAGATTTATTTGAAAATTGTCTTTCTTTGTGGAATTGTATCTTTTTCAATTTATATATATGTAATCAAAATATGTCATTAAATAAATCGAAAATGTTTTCTTATATTCCATATTTTTTTTCTTCCCATTGTAATATATAGATTTATAAATACAATTTGCATCTAGTGATTTCAACAAATTCGAATTATCTATTTTATATTCTAAATGATAAATAATTGGAGCGTATAACAATTCAAACATATACAAAAACGTCGAGTGCCGAATAATATACGAGCGCAATAAATTCGACTGATAAAGCAACAAGTATTTTAGCTATGAATGCATTAAACCCTTCGCCAAATTATACGTTTGCGGGGTTGATTTGTGGTTACGATGCGGTCGACTCATTTCCTCCTCTTTTGAAAGTATTACAATCGCATTCTAAAAAAAAGGTGCGAACTCGACCCGAATAAATACAGGTGCTAAAGAAATATATCACCGCAGAATGGAGGAGTGTAACTTATTTTACGACGATGTTGTAACATCATTAGGTTTATTGACCTGCACAGGTATTCGCAACCCTAAAGGTGTTTTCATAATACAGACAGGTGTGAGAATCCAATTAAATACTATATAATTTACATTTTATTTGCTAATAAAGAAACAACAATAATTTATTTTAAGAAATTAATTTGATAACAAAAAATATAATTAATAAATACGATATTTTATATACAATAAATAAATATTAATGACAAATTCAACTACAGGAATACTCGTACTATTTAAATCCGTTTAATGGAGGACTTTAAAACCGCGCTAACTGTGTATAGAACAAAAAATATGATTTATATATACAAAAATAATATTGTGTACTCTTTTTTGTTAGAATTTGAATTTTTCAAACCAAACTACATATAATCCGCACTACATAAGGTAATGATGTATTCATCAATTAAATGTTACTAAAAATTAATAATATTTATCATCAGTACAGTAAAACCTATTTTCGTGCGGTAGATGTGAACCGCATAAAAGAAATCGCACAAAAAAAAATATTCGAAATTTTCATAAATTCATACACATAACAAATAACTTTGTATAATATGTTACAAAAACTTTTTTATGCGATGGACAGAGACCGCATAAAAAATCGCACTTAGAAAGTACGTCATAGATTTATGAAATACATAAGAAAGTGTATCCAAACAAAATAGATAATTAAATTACACATGGACCCATTTTAAAAACATTTAATTTCTCATTGTACATATGGAGATATTTTCAAAATGCACATACATAATTCATTGCTACTCGTGTTAATCTAAAACGCACATCTTCTTGTGATGAATTGGTTCAAAACGGACTAACAGAATCGTTTGAGCGGGCTGTACATATGCACACTGATAGAAAACTTTGTAATGGTGTTAACGCAGTTGGAATTGATTGGATTTCATATACCGCATAAAAAAATCGCACAAAAATAAAATTGCATAAAAAGAACCGCACAACAACAGGTTCTATTCTACTCTACTATTCAAAAACTAGCAATAAATCAATTACCAATCTGGGAAATGTAATCAATAATGCAAATTATTTAACTATTAATGGAACAGTGGAAATAGTTTAGTTGTATCAAACAATAATTGATACTATTACAATATTTCCTATCTTCAGTTAACAAGTTAATGTTTCAGGTTAACGACCATCCTGCTCCATTTAACAGCTCGAACTCGTTATATAAATCAAAGCAGAATCGTTTCCACTTTAATTAGTATTTTCTGAAGCAACGGAGAGCGCAAAGAAAAAATGCCAATTACAAAAGTAGTACGTTGTTGTTAGCGGTGTGATTTGCGGTGGCGCACGTCGTCAAATATGTGTTGCGTAACAATTTGTTTTTAACCGCACGAATGTTGACTGCTTTGATCCGAATCGAATGCGCATCATACGTTGCCGACGTGATAGAACATGCAATATTCATGTTAAGAACAACAACGTTCGAAAACGGCGCTCGGAATTTGCGAATTTCGAATACGTGAAAAACATAAGTTATTCGATGATTTGATTAACAAATTTGATTTCGTTTACATCACTCGAATATCATGGAACATTTCAATAATATTATATTGAATTATCATTTTAAGAAAACAAATGAAATTGAAAATTTCATTCAATTTTATAAAAAAAAAAAAAATTGGTGTGATTATGAAAATTTGTTAAATATGTTTTTTTAGGTTAGGTTAAGTAATTGTATACAGGTTAGTTGAGGTTAGGAATCTTATACTACTGGGACAACGTACTATAGTTTTGTAAAAATTAGGTCAGATTGTTGTAGTTAGGTACGGTTATGGATCCAATAAATCAATCAACGTCTAATATATCTCATTGTATTTTGTAAATATTTCATATTCAAATAATTGGAAAATTGAGTTGATAAAAAGTGTTACAAAAAACTATCTACTTTAATTATTTTTTCGACCTTAAATGACATCCAGTAATTTTCTATGATTTGTGCGCATTTTAATTAACAAATTAATTTCTCTTACGTCACTTGATTATCGCTTAACATTCCGATCTTAAAATTCTATTGAATTAATATTTGAAGAAAGAAAAAAAAATGGTTCAGTTTTACAAGTTTTTTTTTTCGACGTAATGCAATAAATTCAAGGATACTATACTAATTAAAAAAACAAACTCTTGAAATACCTTATTTCTATCTCTTTCTGGGACATTAAATGTATAGTTACATTTTTTTTATAGAGGAAACATTTGATATATACTAAAACGTTCTAATTTTAAACTCAGCAATAAGAAATGTAATATATTTATGGTATTCAAGGAAATGTGTTTATTTTATAATCAAAATCAAATTATATTCAACAACGCGTTTTAATTAAAATTGTATAAAAAAACTTAATTGAAACTGAATTTGCGCTTTCCAAAAATAAATATTATATTTTATTTATTAAAACACTTTAAACAACAAAAAAACTCGTAGAAAGTTTCTTTTCGTTAATAATTACAATTTCAGTTTCCAATCAATGACTGCATCATTTCACTTTGTCCTTAATCGGAAAACGCGTTTTATTTTGACCTCAAAAGTGGATCAATAGTTTGTTCAGCGATTCGTTCGATTTCTGATAAGAAACCGGGAAGAAGGATTGCATGGAATTTGCATATTTCTAAATATTGGATGGTTTGTGGAGCGACTGTGAGCAACTGTATTAGGTACAAGGCTACGAATGTGTATTGTAAATCGCAGCAGTCGACGTTTGTACAGTGTGTTTTTTTTTTGCACAACATCCTCAGCGTTTTCTATAAAGAGGATGAGAACCTTTAAGACAGAATAACAAAACACGAAATGGGAACTATGATGTGCGCTAAATATTCATAATTTCAGTCGATTTAAGGTTGTCTGAGTTATAGAGCGTTGTCATTGAATTTTTCTAATGCTTATGGAATTTGAATATTAAACTGTCACTTAAAAAGTATTCACAATTAATATTTGATGTATTTAGAAAAGTAATTATAAGTTTCTCAACCTTTATATAATTGTACAGATGTCATTTTGCAACAAATTAAAAATTTAACACGACCCATATGTTGAAAACCGCTGATTTATATAAAAGCAGAAATATCGATTGAATAGGAGATAAATATGGTCCCGTTTTGGTAGCAGAAAATTAATGTTTCTAGTGGAAACGGTAATGGTTTTGCATTAAACGGTAAATGAGGAAGTACCATTCATCATTGTTAATATAAATCGATATTCCATTTACAGTGTTTGATTCCGTTCAAAAGTACTTAGCAATATCGAACTACAATCGAAATCAATCTATTCCATTGTTGCAAAATATCTAAGTTAGTTACGACTATGCTGAAATTAATTGTAATTTCAATTAGTTCTGCTCTCTAAATCATTTATTAAAATTACTGTTTAATGAATATTACTAAATACGAATCTGCAATGCAAAACTTCTCCACATCAATGAAGACATAATATTAACTTTCATCTCGTGAATGTTTCCTCTTTATTAGATTACTTTGCACTAGGATATTGTGCAGATGCGTTCGAGTATATAAAAATATATTCGATGCAGTTAGTTCAAGGATTCGAGGATCCATAAAGATCCCAAGTGTTTTCTGTTCTTCTTAAATCGAGCGCATCCTTTAATGCGTTTGGAACAAATGACGGACACCATTCTTCGGTTCACCTTTTCCCCAGGAAATCGTTAACGTTCTCGAATAGCGACTGCAGGATTCTATTTACCTGATGGCTCATTCGTGTTACGCGGAAGGAGCCGGAACAGAACAAAAAACATATCCTCCGCAGAGCTGCACTTACCGTAAATGTAAATGAGCTTTTAAAGGTATTGGAATGGCGCAATTACGTTCTGCAGATACGACCCGTTCCTCGCCTGGTTTATTCCCCGTGAAACGAATGATCCGCTAGATCCACAAGCGCAAACCGATAACCGTTGATTTA